GGCGGAGGGAGGGCGGAGGAAGCTGCGCGGCGCCGGCCTCCGGGCCCCATACCTGGATGTACCGCAGCGCCGTCCGCAGCACGCTCAGATTGGACGTCTTCTTGTCATCCACGTTGGGGATGTTCCGCTTCAGGGTCTCAAAGCACTCCTTCAGATGGGCCCTCCTGGAGAGAGGGGCGAGCGCCGGTCAGCGGTGCCTGGGGCGGGGCTGGGATGGGGGGGAGGCAGGGCCCGGGGGAGCTGGGGCCGAGGGCCGGCGGGGCCCGGGCCACACACGCGCACACACACACCTGTTCTTCTCCAATTTGTTGTGGACTTCTCTGGTTCCGATCCTGAAACCCAGACAGACAGGAGGCTCAGGGAGGAGGACTCGATGAGACGGCCTTCCTGATGACCCGCGCCGCCACCCCCCAAAATTGCCACAGGCTGTTTGTCCCCAGCATTGTCTTAAAGCGGCTTGGGAGATGTTCGCCCTGTGCCATGCTGCGCCCACTCCCTGCAGGGCACATCTGTGCTCATAATCACAACCCCTGTCACCTTCCGTCCCACCAGGAGGGAGACAGGAGGGCTCCTGGGACTCAGAAGCAGCCGGTTGACCCCCGCCCTCACCCAAGAGACCCATACTCTGTCCAGAGGCCTGGGAATGCCATAAGCCTCAGGCTTGGAGGGCGTTAGAAAACACACAAGCCTGGCAACAGGGGGTAATGGGACGTTCCTTCCCGGGATAGAGATGGGCACAGTGAGGCGGTGTTCAAATAAAGGGGGCACTTCTAGGCTGGGGAGGCAGGACACACCTCTGAAGCCCCACCCAGGGAGGGTACCTTGTCTTGCACACAGCCCAGGGGATGGGCAGCTCTCCTATTCATCCCAGCAGCCCGACCCTGCCACACCCCACTCACCCCCCTGGCCTCTTCTTCTGTTCACTGGATTTGACTTCTTCAGCTGGTGCCAACTTCAGGGTCCCAAGGGGGGGTGGGGGCGGCTGCTGGGGGGCCAGCTGAGGCTGGACTCCAGGGTGTGGTGCTATGCTCAGGATAGGCGTGGGGAGGGGCTGCAAAGGCTTGGGGCTGCCCGTGGGTGGAATGGTGGTCTTCGAGTCCGGCAGTAGGGGAGCAGGGGTGGGCACCTGTGGCCTGCTGGGCAGGGGGGCAGGCTCCTTAATGCTGAGTCCAGGGGTGCTAACCAGGGCTGGCTGACGAGGCGCCAGGGGCAGAGGCTGGGCTGCCGGCGGCAAGGGTGGGGGTGGGGGTAGTGGCTGAGGGGAGTTGGTCACCACAGGAATAGGAATGACAGTCAGTGGGGCAGGGGTGGCAAGTGGTGGTGGGGGTGCGGGCGGGGGAGCCGGCGGAGACAGAGGCAGGGGTGGTGCCTCAATGCGGGGTTCCTCCACAGGAAGGGCATGTGCCAGCCTGGCCAGGCTATTGGCCTTCTTCTGCTCCTGCTCACGCTCCCGCTCCAAGCGAAGCCGCTCCTGCTCCTCTACGCAGAGAGAACACAAGGGGGGGTCTCAGCAGGGCCCCAGCCCTCCAGTCCTAACGCATCCTCTGACCCTAGCCCAGTCAGTACTCAGTGATACCCCTGCTCAGCGAGAGACTCCACAAATAGCCTACCAGTCCAGCCAGGCACAGGGGAAAGCGCCGGGGGCACAGCAGTGAACAAATCAAGCAGACCTGGTCCCTGCCAGCAGGGAACAGGAGGACAGTCACGGGGGCTGACAGTCCGGGCTGCAGGCAAGACAGGTGGCCATGGAAGGGAAGGGTGGAGCAGAGCTGTCAGAGGGTGCTGCAGGCCACCTGCCAGCCTGCAGGGTGAGGAGGAGGGCGGGTGAGGGCAGCGAGGGTCAGGAGCCACAGGGCCGAGGTGGGAGAGGCGGGCAGAGGCCCAGCCACCCAAGACTTCGCACCAGAGAAGGGGGTGTGCTGACAGATCCTAGCTTCCGTGGAAGGCCTTTAACAATGTTTACCAAGCACCTTCTAGAGGGCAGGCAGTGCCTGCATGGCACAGATGAAGGCAGTGAAGCTCAGCGAGCAAAGTGATTTGCTGCAGGTCCCACAGCAAGCCTCCTGACCCCTGGAGGACGCTTGCCGTGCTCACAAGGAAGTGCCTCGCACACATTCACAGTCCCTGGATCGTCACAAGAGCCCCACGTCACGTCACAGGCAGGACAGGGACACCACCCTCATTTCACACATGTGGAAACAGCCCAGCACTCCTGACCCCGAGGCTAGATCCCAATGCCTGTTTTCCTCAGGGACCATTCAACACACACACTTAGTCCCTCTCTGACCCTTGTCGTGCTGAAACTCATTTCTCCCAAATCCCCAACATCCCCACCATCAGCAGCAGCAGCGCCAGCATGTCCTGTCCTCCGGGCCCAACACGTCCTCTGACATCCTCAGTGACACCCGCTCAGCCTGAGACACCACAAATACCCAAGCAGTCCAGCCAGGCACCGGGGAAAGTGCGCCTGCCTGGTTCAGGGTGAGAGAGGACAGCTGAGGAGGAGGAGGCACAGTAGCGGCCATTTCTCCCAAACAAGAAGAGACTGGGCTCTTCAGTAGGGGCTGAGCAGGGCAGTGCACCCCACCATCCGCTCAGCATCTCTGCTGAAAGCCCAGCAGGAAGGCAAGGCCCACTCAGGAGCTGGTGCGAACAGGGGAAGGGGAGGCACCTCCATCTCCAGCCTGCCCCGTCCTCTCCCAGGCCCCACCATTCTGGTTCCCTGGCTACGGGGCTGGCCCAGGCCCTTGGAGTCTGCAGCCCCCAGGCCAGGGAGCCGCCAGGACAAGCAGCCCTCTCCTCTGGCCCCGGATGCCCCGCTCCGCTGACGAACGCAGCAGACAGCTCGGGCTGGTGGACACGCCAAACACCTGGGCAAGGGGTGGTGCGGGGGACTGGAGTCGGCCAAAGCCCCCTGAGGAGGGGAGCACCCACCTCCCACACTCTTACTGGCTCAGAGGCCTCAGAAAACTTGAGGTCTCAGGCCCTTTGGCCAATCAACAACTGGAGTGTGAGCCAGGCCTGCTCCCAGCCCCGCCCTCCCGAAGAGGGAAGAGGCCGAGGAGGAAGCGGAGGGGGAAGCGTCCTGGGAGGGGAAGCCTCAGTGGTTTCCCAGCAGCCAGAGTTCAGGGGCTGGGCCAGCCAGCGGGTCTCTTCCAGATCTCACTAGCCCTTCGGGAAGGGGTGATGCCAGGCCGGTGCAGGCCTGCTCCAGTGCGGGGCACTGGAGGTTACCTTAGGTTACCGCCCGGGAGAAAACCAGCCCTGCGCTCCGCTTCCCACAGACTGCACTGGCCAAGCAGCCTGCTGAGTTCCAGTGACAGGGCCCTTCTCAGTTGGGTGCAGCCTCTGTTGTCCCCAGCCCCTTCCCCTACCCCAGGACAAGACTCTGGATCCCAGGCCTTAACACAGCCCCCACCTCCATCCCGTTGGCTGACAGACCTAACTTTTCATTGGCCTTGAGACATGTGCTCTACTCTCTATAGGCAGAGGGACGATCAGGGCCCTCCCTGAGTCACAAGGACAGGTGGGACCCTAGAGTGCAAGCCAACCCTCATTCCCCATATTTTAAAGCAACCCAAAGCTCACCTGGGAGGTAGCAACCTCCTTCTCACCTGCCCTCTCTCACCCAGAACCAGGCAGGTACACCTCACAGGTGCCAGGAAGGACCCAGTTACACCTGGAGCAGCATGAGAAAGTTCCAGGGGTGGTGAGGAAGAGGAGCTGCCCCGGGGCCAGATCCAGCCCACGAGAGCTTCCTGCCCCTTCCCACCCAGCGGCAACCCTCTCCCTGTGCACTGGAGAACCGCCAAACTGGTGGTGGCTGCTGCTCCCTCAGGAGCACCCTGGGCTTAGGCTCTTTAAAAGAATGTTCTGTGCATCCACCAGACAGTGCGCCCCCTCACATGCCTCCCTGGGCTCCACCCAGAAGCTGCCCCCGAAGAATTTAGCATGGCCCTTCTGCAATGACCCAGGGGCCGAGGCTTCAGCCCACACTCAAGAGCATGGGCAGTGTGCTCCCTTCAACCTTCCCAAGCCACTGTGGCCCAGGCGCTCCGCAGGCACAGGGCTAGGGGTGGAGGAGTCCACACTGGTGGGCCCCAGCAGCCACAGGAATTCTCCCATCTGCTCGATAAACAGGGGCTTGGTGTCTAAGGCAGGCCCAGGGTAAGCCTTGGAGAGTTGGTCAGGAGCCTCTGGACACTCCAACCAGCTCCCTCCAAACAGGGCAGAAGAGTTGCATCTGAGCCACCTCCATCAACACTGGAATGACCATGCCAGGCCCTCCAGCTGAGCACCAGGATAGCTCTGCCCTTTCCTGTCTCTCTCACAGGCACACACATCTGCAGGGTTCTCATGTGAGCAAACTGGCTGGTCTAGGTCAGAAACCCATGCTTGCGGTTGAAAGAGAGAATGGACAAGAGGATCCCTGTCCAGAGCTAGTCCTAGGTCCTGGGAAAGCGTTCTGGTCAGCAAGTTCACCCTTCCCTAGGTCCTGGGAAAGTGTTCTGGTCAGCAGCTTCACCTACCATGCCCTTCCCTCCCGTTCGTCCTGCCCCAGCTCAGAGGACAGACCGTCAAGAGGGAGAAGAAAATGAATTCTGGAGGTGAAACTGCTGGGACCGGTTCTGGCCACCTGTACATGAGTTTTTGAGTAGATCTGGCTTTCCGCACCCACTCATCTCCAAAGACCTCTGACCAACACCAAGCAGTGGTGACCAGGCCGCTGAACTCGGCCTAAACACAGTGGGTACTCGAACTGCAATGTGTTGGTGGCGGCAGCAGGTGACTTAGTCTCTCCGAACCTTGTGCGCGGTCTTCCCCTGACCCCTGTGCCCAAACGTAGGACATTCTTGGTCACCACGGGCACTCTCCACTGCCAGACCCTGCTCTGAACCCCCAAGGCAACAGGCGGGGAGTGTTGGTGACGTCCCCGCCCATCACTTCTGCAAAACCCAGGCATCTGGGTCTCACATATTTCCAGTGACCCCTGACCTTGAGAGGCTGGTCGCCCCGACTAGGCCGGCGGCCCCGCAGCTC